ACGAAACGGCAGAGTATGGAATGGCACCATTTGCATTCTCAATCAAAAAAGAAGGCAAAGACAGTGCCATCAGCTGCGAAGGTGATGGGCACAGTTTTCTGGGATACAGAGGGGTTTATTCTGGCCGAATTCCTGGAACCTGGGCAAACCATCAATGCTGCTCGTTATGTCCAGACGCTGCACAAGCTCCGTCGTGCATTGCGCGATAAACGTCCGGGACGAAACATCATCATCCTGCATGACAGCGCTCGCCCCCACGCCGCTCGCCTCACATTGGAAGCAATTGCAAAGATGGGTTGGGAAGTTCTTCAACACCCCTCCTATAGCCCTGATCTGGCACCCTCCGACTACCAGCTTTTCGGATTTGTGAAGGATCAGCTACGTGGACAAGGTTTTGAGACAAGGGAGGCAATTCAGAAAGCAGTGCGTCAGTGTCTTCGGATGGCCGGAACGGAATTTTACGGAAGGAATTTTCAGACTCCCAGAACGCTGGGAGAAATGTGTACAAAGAAGTGGGGATTATGTGGAAAAATTAAGAAAGGTCTGTAAATTGAGGTGGTGTATTTGGTTTGTCAATAATAAAGCATGTTACTTTACAAAAAAAATTGTTGCTCATGACTTTCAGTAGGACCATAGTACATTTTAGGTTTTTTAACTTCTAGGTAATTTTTCTGGAATTTTTCGGTCATTGTATAGGTCATTTTTTAAATATTTTAGATCATCAAAATCCAGGCCCTGGTCATCAGCCTGCGCCAAATATCGAGATCAGATCACGGAGGATGAGATAGATGGGTGGGAGGGACACTTGCGCAGAAGTGGAAAATTACTGGCGCCTTTTTGCCTGGGAGGCAACAGATTTTGTACTGTGAAGAGTTATGCCTTCTGGGGTATAGTGCCATGTAGTTCGTTGAAGGTCATCTGACGTTTCGGAGATCATGTCACCGTCATCCTCAAGTTTGAAGAGTAAACGAAGCATGGAACCAGAATTGCTTGTTGCAGGCTGAATGAATATAAGGTTTTCGAGAAGGACCCTGCACTGTGGACGTAGCTAGTTACTGAAAGAAATACAGCGTAATTAGTTGTTGAATAGCGCGTGGGAGTGGGGAGAAATTGTAAGTATTAATGAGCATATGAAAGTATCTAGTCATGCCGAAGAGTTTTGAGCGTTAGAATCATTGTAGGAAATCAAAGAAACTTGAGCCCGGTTTTCGCCCTTCCATGATTTTAGGGTTTACTTTGCAAAACTGCTAGCCAAGTGATGTGAACTGGTTCTTTGTTTTGAGCAAGTATGTGTTAGTTTTATGTGAAAGCAGAGCCGTCTACAGTGGCCCTATTTGCTCAGCACTGTTTATA